ACTGCAACCTCCAACTCCTGGGCTCAAGTGATTCTCCTGCCTCAGCCTCCCGAGTATGCTATAAGTTGAAGAATAGCCAAAACACCACCCTTCTGAGTCCAAACGATATTGTTATATGTTTTCTGCATACATGTCCTTCACTAGGTAAATATGCAACATAAACATTCTAATGGCTGAGCAACAGTGGCTATCACTTTTATTTATTTATTTATTTGTTTGTTTGAGATGGAGTCTCACTCTGTCACCCAGGCTGGAGTGCAATGGTGTAGTCTCGACTCACTGCAACCTCCATCTCCCGAGTTCAAGCGATTCTCCTGCCTCAGCCTTCTGAGTAGCTGGAACTACAGGCGCATGCCACCACACCCAGCTAATTTTTGTATTTTTAGTAGAGATAGTGTTTCACTATGTTGGCCAGGCTGGTCTCAAACTCCTGACCTTGTGATCCACCCACGTCGGCCTCTCAAAGTGCTGGGATTTTACAGGCGTGAACCACTGCGACCTGCCAACAGTGGTTATCACTTAATTGAGTACTTACTATGCACCATCCACTGTGCCCGGTTTACATGTAATACCTCATTTCATCCTAACAACTCTATGAGACAAATAAAATTATCCTCCAAATTTTACAGATAAGCTATAATTCAGCTGGCTAAGGTAGTTTTTCCAAGATCAGTAGTAGCAGGTTTGGGATTTGAACCCAGGTCTGACTCCATCACTGTCTCCCCAAATGCTTTTTTTTTTTTGAGACAGGATCTCACTCTGTTATCCAGGTTGAAGTGCAGTGGCGAAACCTCAGCTCACTGCAGCCTTGACTTTCTAGGCTCAAGTGATCCTTCTGCCTCAGTCTCCTGAGTAGCTGGGACTACATGCCCAGGCAAATTTTTGTATTTTTTGTAGAGACCGGGTTTTGCCATGTTGTCCAGGCTGGTCTCAAACTCCTGGAATCAAGTGATCCGCCTTGTTTCAGCCTCCCAAAGTGCTGGGATTACAAGCATGAGCCACCACGCCTGGCCAGAACCCAAATCTTAAAACTAAAAATCATTTCACAGATTTGCTTTTCAGGTTCTCCTGGAGAGAATTCACTAGCCTTGAAATGATTATTGATAACTCATTATGAGGCTCACTTGTTGGGGCCTATTAGTTATATCCTTCTTAAATAACTGGACATGATATTTATTGCCAAGGAGAATTCTAAAACGGCCATCACATTCTGAAGACATTCAAACTATTTTTTTTTTTTTTTTTCCTGAGACAGAGTCTCGTTCTTGTCGCCCAGGCTGGAATGCAATGGCGTGATCGTGGTTCACTGGTAACCTCCGCCTCCCAGATTCAAGTGATTCTCCTGCCTTAGCCTCCCAAGTAGCTGGGATTACAGACACCCACCACCACACCCGGCTACATCCTAACATTTAAATGATAAAATTTTAAATAGCCAATTTTAGGAAAGGAAGTTAACTTATTCAGTTAATTAGGGGCTGTATCTTAGATGGTACATGAGAAAAGTTTAAATGTTCTATAGATACTTTAATAGACTTCTTTATTTTTTATTTTTATTTTTTGGGACGGAGTTTTGCTCTTGTTGCCCAGGCTGGAGTGCAATGGTGCAATCTTGGTTCATGGCAACCCCCAACCTCCTGGTTTAAGCGATTCTCCTACCTCTGCTCCCGAATAACTGGGATTACAGGCATGCACCACCACAACTGGCTAATTTTTGGTATTTTTAGTAGGGACAGGGTTTCTCCATGTTGGTCAGGCTGGTCTCGAACTACTGACCTCAGGTGATCCACTCGTCGCGGCCTCCCAAGTGCTGGGATTATAGGCATAAGCCACACTGCGCCTGGCCTACTAGACCATTTGTTAATTGCAAAAGAGTTTTCTAACTATAACTTTTAAAAATGTTCAGCTAAAATAATTGTCTCAAGCTTTATAATTCAGAAATTAGGGACCTTAATTTTTTTGTTTGTATAATAATCACAATTATTTTTAATTATCTTATAGAACATAAACATTCACTACAGAAAAAAGTAAAAAGCCCCCACAATACCCCATCTTAATATTTTAATATATATAAAACCTTCAAACTGGTTTCTATTCATTAAAAATGAAACAAAATGTTTGTGTGTATGTGAGTGTGTGTGTATATATATATATATATATACATGAATTTTAAAAAATGGAATAATATGATACATTTAGGGAAATACAAATACCTATTTGGAACATCGATGTTAATGATACAAGTTTCTAAAAGTTCTCCATATAGATCTGTGCAAGATGCAAGAATCCACCTTTGATCATGTGATAAACAGTAGCCCACAAAAAGAACATTATATTTCTGTCCAGCTTCTCCAAATGTTTCTCCTAGCTCTGTCTGTTTGTCCTTCACTGGAGCCAGAATAAAAGGAGGTGCATAAAGTCGAATACACTCTGGTCTCTATAAAATAAAAAATTAAGGTATTATGATACTGTACAATCTTAGGGAAATATTGCATTGAAAATGTAATTATTATCTACCCAATAAGATAATTGGAAAATGAGAGCTAAACAAAAAATTGAACATAGTTTTGCATAATATCATAAAAATGTTGGCCAAGTGCAGTGGCTCATGCCTGTAATCCCAGCACTTTGGGAAGCAGAGGTGGGCGATCACCTGAGGTCAGGCATTCGAGACCAGCCTGGCTGACATGGCGAAACGCCACACACAAAAAAAATTAGCTGGGCATGGTGGTAGGTACATGCCTGTTAATCCCAGCTACTCAGGAGGCTGAGGCAGGAAAATCACTTGAACCCAGGAGGCCAAGGTTGTGGTGAGCCGAGATCACCCCACTGCACTCCAGCCTGGGCAACAGAGCAAAGCTCCATCTCGAGGCTGGAGTGGGGGGAAGTATGTATAGTCATTCAATAACTTTGATCATGAAAAACATACTTACATCAGGACTTCTAAGGGCAGTTTCCATGGCTAAACCTGGACCAAAGCCAGTCAATGTTTTCACATTGGTTGATGTTGGAAGTGGCCTCCGACACTGGGTAAAGGCCGAAAAAGCCAGGGATTTTAAATGCTGGGTATAGATTTGTCTATCTTCATGCTTCACAGGTTGCAACAGGTACTGACAAGGAATAATCTAAGAAGTATAGGCAAATATTACAAATGTTAAACTTCCAAAAGAGAATAAAAGGAACTGTGGGTCTAAAACTCCAAACACTTTTTACTAGAAAATTTAAACAAAACATAATTTAAATGAAAATTTAAGGATTGTTTTCTTATCTATTACATAGGCTTTTAATAAGCAGCAATTTTACCAATGGGTCCTGAACTAAAGTAGCATTTAAAACCTTTAAAATTTTCTTGCCAGGCGCAGTGGCTCATGCCTCTAATCCTAGAGCTTTGGGAGGCTGAGGCGGGTGGATCACAAGGTCAAGAGATTGTGACCATCCTGGCCAACATGGTGAAACCCTGTCTCTACTAAAAATGCAAAAATTAGCTGAGTGTGGTGGCATGCACCTCAAGTCCCAGCTGCTTGGGAGGCTGAGGCAGGAGAATCGCTTGAAACCAGGAGGTGGAGGTTGCAGTGAGCCAAGAGTAAGCCACTGCCTTCCAGTCTGGCAAAAAAAAAAAAAACTCCGTCTCAAAAAAAAAAATATTAAAAAAAAAAAAAAAAAAAAAAAAAACCCTATAAAATGTTCTGTATAAAGCTTATGTTAATTAATACTGCCATTGATTAGTCCTGTTGAGGTCTATAAAATAAATTCTAAATTATTTCTAACAATATGGCTAATTGTTTTCTCTTTTTCTGGTAAACTGTCTTATTTAGGTACATGCTACATTTTTCTATTTAGGATTATGAATTTAAAAATTGGCTTATAAAATAACAGAAGAAACATTTAATGTACTTAATGCAATCTTTTTATTCTGTAATATACCTGTGGTATGACTGTGAAGTTTATCTTTTATAAATTCTCTAAGATTTCTATTATGATATTACTTGAAATAAAATCAATATAATATAACTTAGCTTTTAGATAATCAGTTTGAATACAGAAAAGCAGTATCTGAAACTTCTGACATCAAACTGTTTTACATAATTTTAACTCACAACATTTATCACTCTTACCTGTACAGAAACAGTACTCTTGATATGAGGAGGAAGAGTCTGGACCATTTCTAGAAAGCATCGAAGTAGCCCCAATGTCCACACATTAGAAGAGTTAGTGCTCTCGTCTTTATTTTCATATGTAAAAGGATCAACTATATAAACAACGATTGCAGGTGGATAAGTGATTGCATGTGAATCACCATCTGTGGGGATTCCCACTTTATCCCGATCCATCGTGCTAAAATTTAAGGAAGAAATTAGATAAAAAGTTGTACTGTGTGTGCTTGGGACAGCATCTAAGCAGGTTCTTAATATCCCCCTTCTCTCTCTTTTTTGGTGAAAGGTATGAGAAATCCTCTCTGAAAATGAAGGACATTTCTTCCTTGCCAAAGTGAACCATAAAGTACATACAATTCCACAGTGTATAAAAACACTTGCCTTAAGAGGTCTTGCCTTACATTTACCCAAAAAAAAAAAAAAAGAAAGAAAAAAAAATTATTAAACCATAGAATATTAGATGCCAAAGACTGCTTAGAGTTTAAGGGATAAACTGAGACAAAGATAGGTCTCTTTGTCTGAGACTATCTGAAATAGCTGCCCAAATTTATAAAGTTCGGTACAGGTAGAACTAGACCAGAAATAAAATACATTTCTAGACTTATTCAATGTTCTAGTACATTTTTAGACTATATGCATTTTTTATTCTTATTTTTTGAGATAGGGTCTCACTATGTTGACCAGGTTGGTCTTGAACTCTTGGTCTCAAGCAATCCTCCTGCCTTGGCCTCTCAAAGTGCTAGGATTACTGGCATGAGCCACTTTACCTGGTCCCATTTTTAGTTTATATACATTTATTTCATACTTCATAGTTTCAATGAACAAATTTCATTCTCTGATGGGTGATTTAATTTTTTTAAACTTCAGATCTATTCAGATGTTCAAGATGGGTAAATCAATCTGGGTAATGGTTTGTTTTTACCCATATATGAGTGTACTTTTGGGCCCAACTGCATCCTGGGTAGCTGACAGATATAATTAAGTTCTGGCCAACCTAGCCTATAAATCAAAAGGAAAGCTCACAAAAAACCTTTGTCATAAAAGGAGAGCTGTCATAATCATTCTTGTCACCATAAATAAATTGGAATCACTGTGTAAAGTACTTAATATATATTGTATCATATTACTCTGTTTACAGATAAGGAAACAAGCTCAGAAAATTAGAGCTTCCTCTAGTCACAAAGCAGGTAAACGGCAGAGCAGAGCTGAGATTCAAACTTTAATAGGACTCACTATTGAACAGACTGGCTCAATGGTGACTTCTCAATCACTAGAGTGAATTGCACAGGCAAATAAATCTACTTGACAGTTATGCCACAGAAGACTCATATGTCATACGGTATTGGACTATATGGTTTTCAAGTTCTTAACTCCCACCCTCTGAGTCTAGAATTCTATGATAAAGACTTTATGAAGAATCTACATTACAATTTTATACATAAAATATTCAACACTAGGCCAGGTGTCGTGGCTCATGCCTGTAATCCCAGCACTTTGGGAGGCTGAGGAAGGCAGATTGCTGAGTCCAAGGGTTCCAGACCAGCCTGGGCAACATGGTAAAACCCCGTCTCTACTAAAAATACAAAAATTAGCCAGGCGTGGGAGTGCATGCCCGTAATTCCAGCTACTTGGGAGGCTGAGGCAGGAGACCTGCTCGAACCTGGGAGTCAGAGGTTGCAGTGAGTAGAGATTCCACCACTGTACTCCAGCCTGGGTGAAAGAATGAGAGTTTAGTCTCAAAAAAGAAAAAAAGAAGCATCATAGTTTTTTTTTATATTTCTGCCAGAATGAGTATTTTTAAAGGTACCTTTCAGACACATCAGGATGTGGCTGAATGGGAAGTGAAGATGACTCTCCAGAAATCCCAGCTGTCTGTAGAGCTGATGGCTGTTGCCCACCTAGCTGACCACTCTGAACTGCATTTGCTTGTGTAGACATGGATCCTGCAGCATTACTGTTCATACTGCCAAAGGGTGGAAATGAAGGTAGTTTATTTGATGATACTCCACTATTCAAGTTGGAGGATGATGAAGATGAAGTTGAAGCTGTGGTCAAAGCTGAATTAGCTGTGGCAACTGAAGTAGATATGGCAACACCTGAAGTCATTGTCATAGTAGTGCTTGTTGCAGATGCTAAGGTGGCAGATGGGTTATTAGCATTTCCGGTATTTGCCATCTGAGATGGAGTAATCAAAGGCTGACTTGTAGGGGCAACTAAATTTGGCTGGGAAAGTAGAGAGCTGTCCAATGGCAGGGAAGCAAGATAAGGACCTAAAGGATAAAAATAGGTAGGAAATTTAATTCTTTATTTCACCAACTTTTTTTTTAAATTGCACTGTGTAAATAAAATAATCCAGTTGATATTTTCTTGGTAATTATAGCCCCTGAATTGCTTGCTAATGGTGTGATCTATACTTACTTTCTATTTTCCCTTAGAAACTGAAGAAACATATTTAAAATGGAATTTTCACTCAAAATTAAAGAAATGAAAGTTTAACAAAATTCTAAGTATAATTAAACATAAGAAAAGGTATCTAGCAATATTCATCAAACTATTCAAAGGGTTTCTAAATCACAAATCCAACAAATATTGACTACATTGGGAGCTAATAAAAATATAAAATGGTATAATGTTATTATGGAGTTCAAATTATAGGAATGTCTAATGAGATTCAATAGTTTGGTTCTGTATCTCCTTGGATTAAGTCTAAAGAAAGTCCACTGATACTTATTTCAGGAGTATTTATAAACAATACAGTTGCGCATGGGTAGAATGAAAGAAAAAAAAGTGTAATCAGCAAGTCTTAAATAGCTGTCATTTTCTTAGCACAACAAGGAACTATTTCTTGGTTTTGTACAGATTATACATTATTTTATCTTTAAACTGTAACAAATCAACAATCTTAATGTTAATAAACCATCAGACCCTATAGAAGCAACAGAATATTTGTTTATAGCCCACAATTTCTTCATACCTGATGGGATCCCTCATTAGGGATCAGCAAACTTTTTCTGTAAAGGGTCATATAATAGTATTTTTGTCTTTACAGCCACACAGACTCTATCACAACTACTCAGCTCCAATGTTGTAGCACAAAAGCAGCCAGTGAAAATACATAAATAAATGAGGACGGTTGTGTTCCAATAAAATTTTATCTACAAAAACAGCTGGTGGACCAGCCACACTTTGCCAATACTAGCCTTATACAGTAAATACAAACTCAATACCTAGATCATATCTGCAGACTTGTGCATAAAGCTTGAGTTTAGAAAATGCTTCATTGTTACCATCAGCTGCCTGAGAAAACCATTCTGCTACCAACTTTTCTGATAGTTTCTTTGATGCAGTAGATCCAACTCTCATGATCCCATCTGTTAGCAGTCGAGAAATAGGTCTATGTTGACCTAATCGACAGGACTACAAATATACACACAGAAAGCAGAATTAGTAAAATTATTATAGTATTTTAGGTACATATTATAAAACTAAGCATGAGAGCTATTTTAAATAAGCTTAACCATTTGCAATTCACAGGTGTGATCAAAATATCAACGGTGTTTCTAGAAGTAGGGCAAAAAAATAAACATACAAAAGGTGAAATAGTGCTATAGGTCTTTTTCATTTTTACATTAGAAATTCATTAAATTATTTTCAAAATTAAAATATTTCTAATGAAAAAACACCTAGGTAACACTAGAACCATTTGGTTTGAGTAATAAAAGCTTGCAGAATGAAGAAATAAAGGAGCATAAAAATGCAGTCATTTTAGGTATACCTTAATGCCAATTCATGTATTATAAATACACATATCCCTAAACCAAAGCAAAATAAAAATTGGTATATAAATATATTTATATACTCTCTCCCTCTAGTTCTGTAAGCCACTGATTTTTGTTATAATGGTCTGATAAATTTATAACATTGGATTAAGCAAATTTAGAAGACTTTTTTACTGTAAGAATTTCAAAACCTTTAATAACCTAATATGAATTGTGAATCTCTAAAAGGTATTATAATATTACAATGTTTCCCCAAACCTATTTTCTGAAAAAATCTTTTTTTTTTTTTAGGCAAAGTCTTGCTCTATCGCCTAAGCTGGAGTGCAGTGGCATGATCTTGGCTCACAGCAACCTCCACTTCTTGGGTTCAAGTGATTCTCCTGCTTCAGCCTCCCAAGTAGCTGGGATTACAGGCACCCACCACCACACCCAGCTAATTTTTGTATTTTTTAGTACAGATGGGGTTTCCAATATGGTCAGGCTAGTCTCGAACTCCTGATCTCAGGTGATCCACCTGCCTTGGCCTCCCAAAATGCTGGGATTACAGGCATGAGCCACTGCACCCAGCCTCTGAGAGATTTTACCAGACTAATGTTCCAAGTAACACCCTTTGGGAAATGTTCATTTATTAAAAACACACTACAGAGACCTTGTAATTATGTGGAAAATTTTATAAGGAAGGCAAACTAGCATATACTAACATTCAGAGTGTAAAATGCATCAAAATTTAAAGACCAAATTTCCAAGTCTTTGTGGGAAAAGGAGGGAATAATAAAGTAAGATTTTATGTAACATAACACTTACAATTTACAATTATTATGCCTGGTGATGGATACGTGAGAGTTATAACTTAAAAGAATAGGCAAGAATTTCAGACCTGAAATGGACCTTAGAGATATCTAGCATAGATTTTTTTTAAAATGTATTTATTTATTTATTTAGAGACGGAGTTTCACTCTTATTGCCCGGGCTGAAGTGCAATGGCGTGACCTTGGCTCACCACAACTTCTGCCTCCCAGGTTCAAGCGATTCTCCTGCCTCAGCCTCCCAAGTAGCTGGGATTACAGACATGTGCCACCATGCCTGGCTAATTATGTATTTTTAGTAGAGACAGGGTTTCTACATATTAGCCAGGCTGGTCTCAAACTCCCGACCTCAGGGGATCTGCCCGTCTTGGCCTCCCAAAAAGTGTTGGGATTACAGGCGTGAGCCACTGCGCCTGGCCAAATTTATTTTGCATATGAGAAAGGTGAGGTCTAGTGTCACTACCTGAAATTCTAGAGAATAAAGACTAGAATTTTTATAAATGTAATTTTTTTCCTGGCTATTTAACATTGTTACCCTTGGTTTTAGAAAAGGTCACATTAGCCGGGCGCGGTGGCTCAAGCCTGTAATCCCAGCACTGTGGGAGGCCGAGGCGGGTAGATCACGAGGTCAAGAGATCGAGACCATCCTGGTCAACATGGTGAAACCCCGTCTCTACTAAAAAAAAAATACAAAAAATTAGCTGGGCATGGTGGCGCGTGCCTGTAATCCCAGCTACTCAGGAGGCTGAGGCAGGAGAATTGCCTGAACCCAGGAGGCGGAGGTTGCGGTGAGCCGAGATCGCGCCATTGCACTCCAGCCTGGGTAACAAGAGCGAAACTCCGTCAAAAAAAAAAAAAAAAAAAAAAGGTCACATTAAATGGGATATATATCTATATGCCCTCAATGTTTCTTCCTCCAGTAGAGGTATAGCCACTCTGACCCACAACATACACATCTAACAGACTGGGTCAAACTCAGCAAAAAATGTAACTGGCTAGTATGAGAAATAAACATCTAATCTGACACCATCACTGTGTCCCAATCAACTAAATTTACCAGTATGATATGTGTGTGTGTGTGTGTGTGTGTGTGTGTGTAAAACAATACAAATCATAAGGTAGTTTTAAAATGTCATCTCTTTTTAAACACCTACCTCATATATTGCAGTAAGATCTCTAAAAAAGCTTTTGGCTCCATTTAACAAGGCTTCATTCTCTGGACACAGTACAACATAGGCTATATCTCTTTGAGATCCATAGGGTTCCAGCATAAGTCTCTCCCAATAAGGAAGAGCAAATGGAGAAAGCACCAGATAATCATAATCATAACCCAACAAAAATGTGGGGATTGGCAGTGGTTCTGGGGATTCATCAGTTCCTAAATAAGAAAGACGTATTTTAAGAAACAAAAACAAGACATGTTTCCTTTTTATTTAAATGTCAAAAGTTAATGAAGTCATTATTAACGAAACTTTTTTATTAGAGACAAAAATACTTAATGCCAGTTGATCAAGACTTTTCAACAGCTAGGAATTTCCTGAACAAGTCTTTTTATTTATTTATTTTTTTGAGATAGGGTCTTGTTCTGTTGCCCAGGCTAGACTGCAGTGGCACAATCATGCCTCACCACAGCATCAACCTGCTGGGCTCAAGCAATCCTCCGGCCTTGGCTTCCTGAGTAGCTGGCACTACAAGTGTGGACCATTAATGCTTGGCTAATTTTTAAAGTTTTTGTAGAGATGGGATCTTGTTGTGTTGCCCAGGTTGGTCTCAAACTCCTGAGCTCAAGTAATCCTCCCTCAGCCTCCCAAAGTGCTGGGATTACATGTGGGAGCCACCATGCGTGGTCTGCATTTAAATTTTTGGCATGAAAATACACTGTAGGCCAGGTGCTGTGACTCATGCCTATAATCTCAGCACCTTGGGAGGCAGGAGGATTACTTAAGCCCAGGAGTTTGAGACAAGCCTTGGCAACACAGTGAGACACCATCACTATTTATACATTTAAAAATAATATAATTTAAAAAATAGGAAAAAAAAACTTATTAAGAGCTCATGTTAAGTATTCTTTTTTTTTTTTTTTTTTTTTTTTTTTTTTTTTTTTTTTTTTTTTTTTTTTTTTTTTTTTGAGATGGAGTCTTGCTCTGTTGCTCAGGCTGCTGTACAGTGGCACAATCTCCACTCACTCCAACCTCTACCTCCTGGGTTCAAGCAATTCTTGCACCTCAGCTTCCTGAGTACCTGTGATTACAGGCGTACATAACCATATCTGGAAATTTTTATATTTTTCGTAGAGACGAGGTTTCACCATGTTGGCCAGGCTGGTCTCAAACTCCTGACCTCAAGTGATCTGCCCACCTTGGCCTTCCAAAGTGCTGGGATTATAGGTGTGAATCACCATGCCTGGGAGTGTTCTTACCACAATAAAAATTTTTTAAAAGAAAATGACCAACAACCTAATAGAAAAATGGGTTAAGAACATGAAGAGTACAACACAAAAATATCTCTTACACATAAAAAGATGCTCTTTCTCATTAAAAAAAGCAATTTAAAATTAGTAATAGCAAACAATGATAATGCTATGTGCTAGGTACTATTCAAAGCTCTTTGCATGTATGACTCATTTAATCCTCACAAGAAAACACAAGGCAGAAACTATTACTTACTTCATTTTACAGATGAGAAAACATAAATGAAGAAGTTAGGTAATTTCTCTAGTATTTTACAAGAAATAGCAGAGCAGGAATTTAAACCCAAGAAATCTATCCCCACAGTCTATACCATTTAATCTCTCAAACTATAATAGGAAATAACCATTTTTCACCCACTGACTCAGCATCCTACTAGGCAAAGCTTTGGGAAAATAGGCACTTTAACTGGTAAGAATTCAAATTGATATTACAGGGGCCAGGCATGGTGGCTGACTGATGCCTGCAATCACAGCACTTTGGGAGGCCTAGGTAGGTGGATCTCTCAAGGCAAGGAGTTCAAGACGAAACTGGGCAACATGGCAAAACCTCATCTCTACTAAAAATACAAAAATTAGCCAGGTGTGGTAATGCATGCCTATAATCCCAACTACTCATGAGGCTGAGGCATGAGAATTGCTTGAACTGGGGAGGCAGAGGGTGCAGTGAGCTGAAATCATGCTACTGCACTCCAGCCAGAGCAACAGAGCGAGACTGTCTCAAAAAAAAAAAAAAGGTATTACAGAGAGTAATTTAGCTTTTTGTTTTTCCTTGAAATACACATGGCTGGGCACTTATAATCCCAGCCCTTTGAGAGGCCAAGGTGGGCAGATCACTAGGGGCCAGGAGCTAGAGGCCAGGCTGGACCAACATGGCAAAACCTGATTTCTACAAAAAAATACAAAAATTAGCTGGTGTGGTGGCACACACATTAGTCCCAGCTACTTGAGAGGCTGAGGTGGGAGGATCACTTGAGCCCAGGAAGTTAATACTGCAGTGAGCCAGGACTGTGCCACTATACTCCAGCCAGGGTGACAGAACAAGCCCCTATCTCAAAAAATATTAAATAAAATAAAAATACACCATGCTTTAAAGCCAGGGATGTGTACGTTACTGAAAAATAGCTGTAATGATAATGGTGGATACAATCTCTACGTTCATAAACACTGCATTGGTAAAATATATTATATGTAAAGAACAATGGAATACACATAGCCATTAAAAAAAAAGATCATCTCTATGTATGCAGATAGAAATGATCTCCAAAACCATTAAGGTACAGAGATAAATAAATAAATGTTTACTATCTTAGTTTTTAAAATAATGTAAAGGTTTATACTAAAATGTATTTTCTGTCCAGGTGCGGTGGCTCATGCCTGTAATACCAGCACTTTGGGAGGCCGAGGTGGGCAGATATTGCTTGAGGCCGGGAGTTTGAGACAAGCCTAGCCAATATGATGAAACCCTGTCTCTACTAAAAATATAAAAAATCAGCCCAGGCATGGTGACGTGCACCTGAAAAACCCAGCTACTCAGGAGGCTAAGGCAGGAGAATTGTGTGAACTTGGGAGGCAGAGGTTACAGTGCGCCAAGATCACACCACTGCACTCCAGCCTAGGTGACAAAGTGAGACTCTGTCTCAAAAAATAAATAAATAAAACAAAACATCTTTTCTTGGACCTCCATTTTTCACAGAACATTAGTTTTGTAATGAGATTTAAATTATTTTAGCCATTAAAAGAGGGAGAAAAGGAAAATACAGGCAAATCTACTACTTTCATATATAATGTACTTCGAATCAATAAACAAAAGTGAAAGATTTCAATTTTAAGAAGTATTATTCCAAATATATTTTTAAAACTCCAATTACAGCCCACCTTTCAGAGACAATCTTCAACAAACAGTTCGAATATTTGGAATGTTCTTTTCATCACAGCTGACCATAAATCTGCACACCTACTCAGAGTATTCATTTACTACTCTAATCACAACTAGCAAATTTCTTCTTTGTTGTAACTCTTTTTAAATGAAGACCTTAGGGCCCCTTATTACTAGTATAACCCTCATTCGCCACTCCATCTCCCTTTTTCATTTAATTTTGTAAAATAATTGAAAACAAAAGCATTTTTTTTTTTTTGCCTTTGAAAGAAAATCTTCGCATATGTCCCTTTCTTCATGAAAAATATTGAGGGAAAGCCCCCTATGGGTAAAAACGGACCTAAGAGAAGCCACTCCTTTTGAAGCAGGGTTAGAGTTGAGTAAGCTGAATGTTGGAAATGGTGGGAAAAAAAGCTAGGATTGGACCAAGGTGGCCTTAAGAATATACCACAAAAAATATTTAAAGAAGACTAATGTGCTTATTCTAGTTGGGCACAGAAATCTGAGGACTGATATAAAATCAGTCATTACATATCACTATAACTTACTTACCATAAGATCCTCGGCCAGCCATTTTATGAAACTGTTGCCAAGTAAGAGGACCTTGAACACCCCAAGGTCTTACTGTTCTTTTTTTCTGAATGGCATCCTGAAGAACTGGCTGAAGAGAGAGGAGCATTCGAAGTATATCCTGTGAGCACTGCATACTCACATCTACGAGCATTAAAAAAAAAAAGGAAATAAGAATTGCTATTGCCAACACAAATAAAATTTGAAGATAACACAAAATACATATAGAGAAGTTCGGGTCTTCATCATCAAGAAGATTAAACCGTGACCTGTGCAGAGAACTGTATTAAGTTTTATAAGACGATATATAGAAATGGTTCTTCCAGATACTTAGAACCAAAAAGACACACAATAAAAAGTTACTGTTGCCGGGTGTAGTGGCTCATGCCTGTAATCCCAGCACTTTGGGAGGCCGAGGCAGGCAGATCACAAGGTCAAGAGATTGAGACCATCCTGGCCAACATGGTGAAACACCATCTCTACTAAAAATACAAAAAATTAGCGGGGTGTGGTGGTGCTCACTTGTAGTCCCAGCTACTCGGGAGGCTGAGGAGGAAGAATCATTTCAACTGGGAGGCAGAGGTTGCAGTGAGCCCAGATTGAGCCACTGCACTCCAGCCTGGTGGCAGAGCAAGGCTTCGCTTCAAAGAAAAAAAAAATTATTGTTAGCTTATCTCCATAGTCGACTATTCATTAGCTGATTAATCAAATTTAGAAATTAATCAAATATATTTATTTTTGCATTTATGCTGGCTGTTTTGGTGCTGTAGGTATTTTACCAGAAAGAAGTCTGCCTCACATTGAAACTATATCCCACAATTAGCACTGTTATGGTAAACTGAATAGATAGATAAGACTGGTTATAATAGTTAAAGCTTAATTTGAAAAAAACAGTAGACTTCAAGAACTCTAAAATACAGAAATTATACAGTAACTTGCCCACAATGATAAAAAGTATATTATCCATAGATATTTTATAAACTTACACATCTTAAAGATGTATATATTATCAAATTATGACCTACATTTCTGACCAATTATCAGAATGGTGATACAGAAAGGTACTCCTCATAAATGTTAAATGGCTCAAAGAAAAATCACTAAATGATACTGATAAAATAAATGTGGCCCCCAGAATGGTCCAGTTGTACCCTAAACCTGTTTAAGCACACTGCTATATTAAATCACTCCATTTTAATTCGTTATTATCTTTGCCTAATTTATCATTATTGGCCTTAATTTCCTATACCTAAAAATTTTATCGGCTGGGCGCAGTGGGCTCATGCCAGCACTTTGGGACGCCAAGGAGAGTGGACTGCTTGAGGTCAGGAGTTTGAGACCAGCCTGGCCAACATGGTGAAAACCTGTCTCTACCAAAAAATACAAAACTTAGCCGGGCATGGTGGTGCATGCCTGTAATCCCAGCTACTTGGGAGGCTGAGGCAGGAGAATCGCTTGAACCCAGGAGGCAGAGGTTGCAGTGAGCCAAGATTGTGCCACTGCACACCAGCCTTGGCAACAAGAGCGAGATTCCATATCAAAAAAAAACAAAAAAGATTAAACAGAATATGACTCAGTGAGTCCATTTAAGAGTAATAAAAACATGTCCATATAAAAACTTGTATGCAAATGTTCATGGGAGCACTATTCATAATATTCATAACAGCCAAAAAGTGTAAACAACCTAAATGTCCATCAACTGATGAAGGGGGTAAATAAAATATGGTATCTTCATACAATGGAATATTATTTGGCAATAAAGTATTAATATGTGCTATAGCATGGATGAACCTTGAAAACATTACGCAAGGTGAAAAAAGCCGGTCACTGAAGATCATATAGTATATAATTCTATTTATATAAAATGCCCAAAAGCAGCAAATCTAGAGAGACAGAAAATACACTCATGGTCATCTATAGTTTAGGAAAGAAGGCTGGATGGAAAAAGGCAGTGACTGCTAAAGGGTAGGGGGTTTATCATGAAAATGTTCTAAAACTGTGTTAATGACTGTCCAACTCTGAATACTAAGAGCAGTAAACTGTACATTTTACATGGGTAAATTGGTATTAATTTTTACTCAGCAAGTATGTATTTTTTCTAATTAGAACACAGCCTTTTCTATCTTCAACAAAATAAATGTTGCCATTAAAATATACAAACTATACTTTGTAGACTTTTAAATTCAAACATACCTTCTTCCAAGATGTTAAAGCTAAAGAAATCCAAACAACTATTTTAATATCCTGATCATCTACTATGTTCACTATTCTAGGTGTTTATAGACAAAAACCTTTGCCTTTACACAGAAGTTTGTAAAGAGTGTACTTCATACGGGTAGGAAACAACAATTAAATTGTATTGTTATGTTAGAAGGTAATAGGAACACTATGGAAAGAAGCAAAGCAAGATGGAGAACATGAAGAATGGTTTACAATTTTATATTGAGAAGATGACATCTGACAAGATTTAAAGGAGACAGAGTTATCCACATAAATACCTGGAAAATGAACATGCAAGGAAAAGGAAACAATTAGGCCAAGGGCTCCAATGCAGGAGCTTGCCACTATTTTATGATGCTACTATAATTTAATCAAAGTATTCTAATATTTCACATTTATGTTTTCCAACATTGTTTGTTTTTAATACTGAAAATTTTTAATTGAAATATAAAGGATTTTCTTTCTTTTCTTTTTGGCAGAGACAGGGTCTTGCTATGTTGCTCAAGCTGGTCTCAAACTCCTGGTCTCAAGCATTATTCCCATCTTGGCCTCCCAAAATGCTGGGATTACAGGTGTGAGCCATGGTGCCTGGCCTCATTTCTCTCTTTCCTGTACTAAATTACTTTCTTTGGACAAGTTCTTAAGAAGAAATTAATTTTTATGTCTGCAGCTTTATATTTACATCATTGCTTACTGTTATTCAAAAAACACATACCAGGTAAAGCTCAGTATTTTCTATTATTTGGCAAATAAGTTGATTCTTAAAAACAAAACAATAATAAATAAAGAGTCATTACCACTGCTAACATTTGAGTTATTACTATATGCCAAAAACTGTTTTTTGTTTTTTCTGAGATGGAGTCTCGCTCTGTCACCCAGGCTGGAGTGCAGTGGTGCCATCTTGGCTCACAGCAACCTCCACCTCAGGTCAAAGTGATTCTCCTGCCTCAGCTTCCCGAGTAGCAGGGATTACAGGCATGCACCCCCATGTCCGGCTAATTTTTGTATTTTTAGTAGAGATGGGGTTTCACTGCGTCGGTCAGGCTGGTCTCAAACTCCTGAGCGGCTCATGCCTGTAATCCCAGCACTCTGGGGTGCCAAGGTGGGGGGATTGGCTGCTCTTTGTTTTTTTTTTTTTGAGATGGAGTCTCACTCTGTCGCCCACACCAGAGTGCAACGGCGCAATCTCAGCTTACTGCAACCCGTCTCCCGGGTTCATGCAATTCTCTAGCCTCAGCCTTCCAAGCAGCTGCGACTACAGGCATGTACCACCAGGCCCTGCTAATTTTTATATTTTTAGTAGAGATGGGGTTTGCATGTTGGCCAGGATGGTCTCAATCACTTGACCTCATGATCCGCCTGCCCTGGCCTCCCAAAGTGCTGGGATTACAAGCATGAGCCACCGCACCCAGCCTGCTCTGTTTTATATGTATTATTTCATTTGATTCTCTCAACACCCTGTAAAGTAAATCCATTATTGACCCTATTTTAAGAAACTGAGGCATAGAAAGGTTAACTAACTTGGCCCAAGGTAGCAGGTAGTATATAGTGCTACAGTCATGTTTCAAACCCAAGCAGTCTGAGTCCATAGCCTATGTTCTTAACTACTCTATATGGCTTAAAATAATCTTTTCCTTTTTTTGAACACCTATGATATTTATATTTTTCCCTTTTTAAATTTGGTCCCTGAGTATGTCATGTACATAAACTTAATCACTGGTCCATGTGTTGCTCTTATAGTTCAAAAATTTCCTTTAAAAATAAAATGAACAACTGTAATCCAACTGTCCAAGAACTAGAACATTACCAAAAACAATCTTATTAAATGTTTCTTCCTATCTTATCTTGTGGTCATTTTTGGACACATGAAATTTCAAGAATTAACCAATATCCTCAATTTTATGTGCATGTAAATAATACATTTAGTTGTGCTTGTTTCAGAACTTTATTAAAGGCAATATATTAAAGATATTATTCAAGGGTATCTGACTATATGTAATCTTCTGGGATTTGTTCCCTCTTCCTCTCCTCAATACTATTACTAAGATTCATCTATTTGTTATATACAAAAGTATCCATTTTCAGAAGCCATATAACATTTCATCTGTATTATCATGATTTCTTAACTATGCTCCTGTTGATGGGCTGATTTTTACTTCTTTCAACCTTGCATTACATGGCCATTTTTTTCTTTTTGGACAGAGTCTCACTCTGTCAAACGGGTTGGAGTGCAGTGGTATAATCACGGTTCACTAAATCATCCACCTCCTAGGTTCAAGCTATCCTTCTGCCTCAGCCTCCCAAGTAGCTGGGACACCAAGCAATGTGCTATCAAGCCCAGGTAATTTTTGTATTTTTTAGTAGAGATGGGTTTTGCTATGTTCACCAGGCTGGTCTTTAACTCCTGGGCTCAAATGATCTGATCTGCCTGCTTCAGCTTCCCAAATGCTGGGATTACAGGCATAAGCCGTATTTGTCAATTTAAAAAAACTCCTTTCTATAGGATCACTCCCAATGCACCCATTAAAAAATAATAATAAACCTCTCTTTTAACCCTATTATCCAATTTCTCTGCTATTTACAGCAAAAGTCCCCACAAAATTGTCTAAGTTTGCTTCTCATCCCATTCTCTTGTGAACCCGCACTAATCAGGTTGACTGAAACTGCCTATCAAGGTGACCAACAACTTCTATGTGGTCACATCCAATAGCCTGTCTCAGTTTTCACTTTAATGTATCACAGTATTTGATAGAGACGATCACTCTCTTCTAAAGATTCCCTATACTTGATTTCTAGGATACCATACTCCGATGGTTTTCCTCCAACCTTCTTCTCAATTTCCGTTCCTGGCTCCCCCTCTCCCTTCCCACCTCTAAATGTCAGCCCCATCCTTGCACTGCTCTATCTGCAATTACTCTTTAGGTTATTTCACCAGATCCACAGCTTTTCATAATGATAACTCATGAAAATTTTCAATTTTTTGTTTATTTCCTATCTTCTCCACTAAATTATAGGTTCAAAAAGGGAAAAGAATATGTGTGCTTTGACCTGTATGTTCACTGGGGCACTGTTTACAATAGCAAAGACCTGGAACCAACCCAAATTCCCATCGATGATAGACTGGACAAGAAAAATGTGGCACATATACACCATGAAATACTATGCAGCCATAAAAAACGATGAGTTTGTGTCCTTTGTAGGGACATGGATGCTTCTGGAAACCATTCTCAGCAAACTGACACAAGAATGGAAAATCAACCACCACATGTTCTCACTCATAGGCGGGTGTTGAAACAATGAAAACATGGACACAGGGAGGGGAGCATCACACACTGGGGTCTGTTGAGGGGGGTCCTAGGGGAGGGACAGCGGGAGGTAGGGAGTTGGGGAGGGATAACATGGGGAGAAATGCCAGATATAGGTGACGGGGATGGTGGCAGCAAACCACATTGCCATGTATGTATCTATGCAACAATCCCGCATGTTCTGCATATGTACCCCAGAACCTAAAGTGCAATAAAAAATATTAAAAAATAAAGTATCTAAAAAAAAAAGAACATGTGTGTTTTGTTCAACAGCGAACCTAGGAAAATACCTGGCACATACGAGGAGCCCAGCAAATACTTAATGAGTGGAAGAACGTTAAATAAAGCAGACAACTAGCAATGTTGTGCTAATAAACATATGCAAAGTGCCTTTTATACTCCTACGTAAGTATATAACTACAGATTTATAACAATAATATTTTTATTGGTGAAATTAAACTAAAACTGCTAAGAAATTCTCCCTTTAAAAATGTCATCCTTAAAAGAATTTTAAGTCCAACTTTAAATGTCTTTATTTACTACATGGGAAATTGCCTTAAATACTTTTTCCTAAGAAAGAAAAGCAAAGTCATACAACTAAAGGGAAATAAGCAAACAAGAAAGTATTTTATTAGCATACTTACCATTTCTTTTGGACCAGGGGTGTAAGCATGAACTCTTCACAAGTGCTTCATCAACTTTTCCTCCTGACATGTTATCCATGAACTGACGCCCATGTTCTAATGCAAGGTAGCAGTCATTGCAACAGTCACGCTCTTCAACACGTACCCAATTGCTAATTACACTACTTTTAGGAAAAGGATCTTGGTCTGCTGCTCCGAAGGGTGAAAATAAATTAGTGCACTGATCTTGTAGCAATAATATCAAATCATCAGGCAATTTTTCAGATTCCCTTAGTCCTCCATTAACATGTTCAGCAGAGGTAGCCCTGAGAGCTTCAAAACGTTTTTCTGCTTCTTTGCCACAGTCTGTATTGCGTCCTATGATATCCAGTTCATCTTCAAGAAATAATCCTGAATTGTTTCCAAATTTTCTGTTCATGACAGCACTGAAGCCGCAGGTACATCTATACTGTACTTCCTGCGCTGGATCTGGAATGTAAACTCCAATATCGGCACCCTTGATATTCATGTTGCAGACACAGATGCAACAACTATCAAAGTTACAGTCTTTAAACAAATTCATAACTGATTCTGAAAGGATGAGGTTTACATAAAGACTGTGTGCTTCAGGGATGGAAGGGACAGTTGCAGGTTCAACAGAATTAAGGGGTCTGCATGTAGATGGGGTGGAAGCTGGTGAATACAAGTCTGAATTTTCATATTTGACTGAACCTTGAGCACTAGCAGGTCCACCAGCTCCACGAGGAGTCCGAGGAGTCCTTGGAGTCCTTGGAGTTGGAAACCGAGGGGTGGATGGAGAAGGAAGAATTCCTGCTCCACTGTTACTAGGAGGTGCACTGCTGGGAGGCATTCCAAAAGAAGTATGAGTTTGAGGTGTATAAGCAGGGCCATATTCTTGATCCATGTTACTTCCATCACTACCATCACCAGGGTAAAAGAAAATAAAATACATATATAAAGGAACATATTAGTAATGTGAAATACAATTAAAAATGTCCCAAATGTTTTTCAATTACATAGGAAATTATGAAAGGACAAGTATTGCAAGAATTACAAGTAGAGTCAACTCTTATTTCTGGTTAACATATCCACTCTAAATAATTGTGTGGGCTAAGGATCAATCTAATTCAAAAATCATTAATAAACTCTGTATACACTAATACACACCTAGACATCTATATTTACTATCTATAAATTTCGTTTACTAGAAATACTTATAAGATGCTACTATTAAAAAATGATTTTAGAGATGCTTATGTGTAAACAGAGTAAAACTGTAATTTTCAGATGCATTATAAGACATCTCAAATTCAGATTTTTTTTTTTAGCCTTGAGTTGAAACTGACAAATTCAGATATGGTAAAATGTGGAAAGTGTGGAAAATACGGCAAACGTAAAAATGGGAGTGATTTTAAATTGCAGCCCAAAAGAAAAGGTGCTTCTGAATACAAATTAAGCAGAACAGTCTTAAGTTTTCCAATAGTTTATCCATACCCAATTAACCATTGTAATTTTTTTTTTTTGAGATTAAGTTTTACTCTGTCGCCTAGGCTGGAGTGCACTGGTGCGATCTTGGCTCCCTGCAACCTCCACCTCCCGGGTTGAAGAGATTCTTGTCCCTCAGCCTCCCAAGTAGCTGGAACTACAGGCACAAGCCACCACGTTTGGGTAATTTTTCTATTTTTAGTAGTGACAGGGTTTCACATGTTGGCCAAGCTGGTCTCAAACTCCTGACCTCAAGGGATCCACCCATCTTGGCCTCCCAAAGTGCTGGAAACACAGGCATGAGCCACTGTTCCTCACCAATCATTATACTTGATTAATCAGAAATAATTTTTAAAATTTTCAAAAACCAATTTTCTTTTTCCAGCAAGCCAGGTAAATCTACAAAAAAAATTAAAGCTGTATAGGCATTCATATACTATCATAATAACATAAATCATACCCCTCTTTGATGAATGGCATTGCAGGCCCTGAAGGAAGCAATTCCAATTTTCCAACAGTCCAACTCTGACGGTAAATACACTCTTCTGGCAATTTGATAGGGGGCAGATATTGGCTTGGTAGAGTTTTTAGAGGTGCAAACATGGAACATCCCACTAGAATTTGACAATTTTCAGGCTTATAGACGTAAGAAAAATCCTACAATATAAAGATGGTAGGTTTTCAGTATCTTATCTTCTGGGGGAAAAAATAAAAAACTCAAACAAGCTCTGGACCTTTTTTCCTTTCTTTAAACAGAATAAAATGTAAATGCAATCCTATTCTTTCAATTAATGCAATCTTAATAGTGATACAATTCAGTCCTCAACTTAGCCACAAAACTGCAAACACTATCAAAGAATTTTTGAATACAGCAACAAACTAATTCTATAAGAAAATATAAGAAGTGAATTATTCTTCTAGAAAAAAAAAATACTTACTTTAATTTCAGAAGGTTTGGGGCTACAGAATCCCTCATCAACCTCAATTTTGAACTGTGCTCCTATACTAGAACTATTTCCTTCTAGAACAGTTCCTCCAGGCGTTGTATCCATACTACCATATTCTTTATTATTCATATTCATTGGGGAAAATCCCATAATATGTTGTTCCAATGATGGTGGTGTAGGATACATTTTATGAAGATCTGCAGTGCCTATATTTAATAAAAACATACATTTTAACACATCACTAAAAATAGGTGACTATTTAAAATAAAGGGAGTGGGGAGCTTTTTTGAGATTAAAAGTTTGCAAATTTATCTCATGCACAGATGTGGGACACTTACTTATGCAAGATAACGGGTCCAGATTTCCTGTCTTTGATTCCTTGCAGCTGGCTTTATCATCTGATCCATTCGCTGATTTTTTAGATCCAGGCTATTTAAAAAAAGCACATATTTATCTAAAATTTTACATCCAATGTGATCTCAAAATAGTAATCATTCAGATATAACCTAAAAGTAAAGCCCATTCATTAAAAGTAATATTTTGAATTTGACAGCCAAATACATACTAGTGTTGAAAGATATATTTCTTAGACAATCATCAACTTCAGGTTAGTTTCTCTGAAAACTTATTTGGTAAGCCTCCAAATTAAAAGGGAAAAGTTCCTCCAAAGAAAATGACCAATACTTTCAATATATACACAAGTAAGGTTAATCTTAAATTAAAACCCAAAATAAGAGGCTGGACGTGGTGGCTCATGCCTAAAATCCCAGCACTCTGGGAGGCAGAGGCAGGCAGATCAATTTGAAGCCAGGAGTTTGAGACCAGCCTGGCCAACATGGTGAAACCTCACCTGTACTAAAAATACAAAAAAATCAGCTGGGCGTGGAGGGGCATGTCTGTAATTCCGGCTACTCAGGAGGCTGAGGCACAAGAATTTCAGGAAGCTGAGGCGCAAGAATTGCTTGAGCCTGAAAGGCAGAGGTTGCAGTGAGCCAAGATTGCACCACTGCACTTCAGCATGGGCAACAGAGTGAGACTCTGTCTCAAAATAAAATAAAATAAATAAAAATAAGAAAACCTGCAATAAGAAGGAGTTGTAATTAACATTAGAAATGCTTCTTAGTAAAAGATACTTGCAAAGTATTTGTCTCCTTAAGCTAAACACATTAAAGTTTGTGTTTTTCCTATATATTCAATCATCCGCTTCTCTGAACTCTTATTTATACTTTTACCTTGTTTTGATAATCTCCTTACTCCTATAAAAATATTGTAACAGGTAAAACTAAGTACAAACTTCAGAAGATCTAATGACAAAGCAATAGGGTTCCTGAGTTTTAGTACATTGAACAAACAAGTCTTACTATTTCCAAGCTATTACCAATGTTTTCAGAGCTAACATTTGTTCCATGTCTTCTGTTAGACAGTTTGTGATAAATATTACTATGCAGACCACGTTCTGACTACAACCTTTTTATCTTAGAGGAACCACAGCTGATACATGAATGGTAGTAGAGAGTATGAATGTGTCAAAACATTGAAGGATATATTTGCCTAGTGAAGGGTGTCCTAAAATATACTACACTATGGGATATACAGTAAAAGTTTATGTATCTGCCATATATATAGATCTATATATATATATGTATGTATGTATGTGTGTACATACACACATATACATAAATATACATATATAGATATATATGCTGAGAAGAATAAATGCATATTATATAGGAAAAGAAAGACCAAATGTACCATAGAAGTTTCCAAGCTACCTTTATGCAGATGAAAAGGAATTCCCTTTTATGATAATGCAGCACCCAATTCATTAATTTGCCAGAGACTTGACATTCTAGGGAATCTCATTTTAAGCTTTAATTTCTTTTATCTTCACCTTTCTCTGCAAATGGGTGTTAAAGATCAAATATTACTTTTTCTTCCTCTTTCATTGTTATATCATGTATCTGTCTTATAATAATAGCTGTGATGTCAAACAAATTCAAAAGAACTGGTATTCCTTAATAAACTGACAAAGCAAATAACTTTAATGTCAATTATTTATGTGTTCTCTGAATGAGTAAATTCCAGGGTCATTTCTCAAACTATAGAATCAAATAGGAAAATAATTCTGCTTCCTAAAACCACAAAACAGAACATACAGCAGAGCTCAAATTAAGGTTAATCATGTGTTCCCTAAATGTAAAAACAAAAGGAGAAACAAAAATCTCAAAGTTTATAGGTGACACTATGGCAAGACTACTCAAACATGAGATTAAAAAAGAAACCAATGAGATTTTACTGTAAAATATTTCTCATTGTTCAGGGCTAAATCATAGTATTAAACTCACAAATCACTTCTAAATAATAAAATACATATATATATAATCAAGGAAAACAAATTATAATCCTATCCATTAATCAAATACTCACTGTTAGTTCATCTTCATCAGAATTGAAGAGATTATCAAGATCAGTATAAGAGACAGCCAGGTCTGAGTCATAAATCAAACTTGTTGATGGAGGACGGGCATGACTAGCAGGGCGTGGAGCATCTACAAAAGTCAATCAGAAAAATAAAACTGTTACTACTGACAAAATAAGTATTATTCTGTTTAAATTAGACATATAACTTTAAGTTCATAAGGGTATTATGCAACAAGAAACTGTAATTTATTGTTTAAAATCTAGAAAGTGTTTTTAATAGAAAAAATGTTATAAAGGCATAAGGGGCTTATACCTTTTCCAGGAAGCTCACTATAAGGTCAGGTAATCCATAAAATAGCTAAGTACTCTACATGAATAATTAATATATCAAATAAAAATATAAATGCTGGCCGGGCGCGGTGGCTCAAGCCTGTAATCCCAGCACTTTGGGAGGCCGAGGCGGGTGGATCACGAGGTCAAGAGATCGAGACCATCCTGGTCAACACGGTGAAACCCCGTCTCTACTAAAAATACAAAAAATTAGCTGGGCATGGTGGTGCGTGCCTGTAATCCCAGCTACTCAGGAGGCTGAGGCAGGAGAATTGCCTGAACCCAGGAGGCGGAGGTTGCGGTGAGCCGAGATCGCGCCATTGCACTCCAGCCTGGGTAACAAGAGCGAAAAAAAAAAAAAAAAAAAAAAAAAAAAAAAAAAAAAAAAAAAAAAAAAAAAAAAAAAAAAAATATATATATATATATATATATATATATAAATGCTATTTAGGAAAACAGAATTAAATACACACACATATTTGTAGTTTTTTTTGAGATGATGTCTCACTCTGTCACCACCAGGCTGGAATGCAGTGGCACAATCACACCTCACCGCAGCCTTGACCTCTCTGGCTCAAGCAATCCTCCCACCTCAGACTCCCCAGTAGTTGAGACTATAGGCATGTGACACCATGACCAGCTAATTTTTTTTTTCTTGAGTTGGGGCTCTGCCATGTTGCTCAAACTGGTCTTAAGCTCCTGGGCTCAAGCAATCTGCCTGCCTCTGCTTCCCAAAGTGCTGGGATTACAGGTGTGAGCCACCTCACCCAGCCTGTATTTTTCTCTTTCTGAAATGTAAAGGAAGAACAGAACAATGATTAAGGGGTGACTCGGGCCAGACTTTAATCTGAATCCCAGCTCTACCACTAACAGTATGGCCCTCGACAACTTACTTAACTTCTCTGTGCCTCAATACCAAGAACTGAATTAAATGTAATAGAATATAGGTTAATATGCTTTGCCCACTGCTAGGTGCTTAAGTACTAAATATTACCTCTTAGTTACTGTACTACAATTTTATTTTCCTTCCCTCCCGCCCCATTTTAGGGGAACAAATACATAATCCCAATTCCAATGAAAATTAAACTCCCCATATATTCCTGCACAAGAAAAACAATTTGATACGTAACTATCTAAATCATTCTCTGTCAACTGACTTGAAATAATACTCATTTTCAGAAAGAGAAAAGTCACTTTCCCAGTGCCTCTGTGTGTCAGTTCTAAAGATCCACTAGAGCTGCAGCTTTGAAATTTTAAGTAAAAATCCATCTAGGATACTTATTAAAAACCAAAATTTTGAAGCTCCACCTCAGGGATACTCCAGAATGTAGTATATGTTTCACATTTTGAGAAAGCTGTACCACAGGCACAAGAAGGGGCTTACATGTTTCCTATATCCCAGGGAATACCCCAGGATAAGTAGGCCAAATAACCCAATTTGTTTCCGAGTTTTTTTTTTTTTTTTTTAATGTATGTATTATGAAACGGCTAAATCAGGCTACTTAACATATTCATTACCTCATGTACAGATGCTTATTTTTCTATGGTGAAAACACTTAAATTCTACTCTCCATTTTCAAATATACAAAGTATTATTAATTGTAGTAACCACAATTTACAGTAGATCTCTTGAGCTTATTCCTCCCAACTGAAATTTTGTCCACTTTGGCCATCTCCCTAATCCGTCCACTCCTAGTCTCTGGTAATCACCATTTTACTTTCTACTTCCATGAGTCCAATTTTTTTAGATTCCACATGAAAGTGAGATCATACAGTACTTATCTTTCTGTGTCTGGCTTATTTCATGTAGCATAATGTCCTCCAGGTTCATCCACGTTATCACAAATAGCAGAATTCCCTTCTCTTTTTAAGGCCAAACAGTATTTCACTGGTGTATATATACCACATTTTTTAAATCTAGTCATCCACTGATGGACACTTAGGTTGATTTCATATCTTGGCGACTATGAATAATATTGCAATGAACATGGAAATGCAGATATCAGTATTAACATACTGACTTCACATTCTCTTGATACATGTCCAGTAGTGGGACTGCTAGATCATATGCAGTTCTATTTTCTGAAGAATCTCCATACTGTTTTCCGTGATGGCTGTACAACATTTACCTTTCCTCCAACAGTAAACAAAGATTCCCATTTCTCTACATTCTTACCAACACAGCTTTCCTCTTTTTGATAATAGCCACGGTTAACAGGCATGAGGTGATATCTCATTGCGGTTTTAATTTGTATTTCTCTGATGATTAGTGATGTTTAACGCTGCTTCATATACCTGTTACCCATTTGTATGTCTTTTTTTGAGAAGCATCTAATCAAGCCCCTTACTCAATTTTTAATTGGGTTGTTTTTTTTTCCTATTGACAGTTCCTTACATATTTTGAATATTAACCCCTTATCAAACATACAGCTTATAAATATATTCTCCCATAGCTTGTCTCTTCACTGGGGATTTTTCCCTTTGTTGTGCAGAAGCTTTTTAGTTTGATGTGATCTCATTTTGCTGCCTGTGCTTGTGGGGTCATATCCAAAAAAGTCTTTTCCCAGATCAATGTCATGGCGCTTTTCTCCAGTTTTCTTCTAGTAGTTGTATAGTTTCGGGTCTTAGACTCAAGTTGTCAATGCATTTTGAGTTGATTTTTGTATATGATGTGAGATGAGGATCTATATATCTAAATATCCAGTTTTCTACGCACCACTTACTGAACTGACTGTCCTTTCTCCACTGGGTGTCCTTAGCATCTCAGTTGAAATCAGTTGACCAGAAATAGGTGGATTTATTTCTGGGCTCTCTATTCTGTTCCATTGACCTATGTGTCTTTTCTTATGCCAGTACCATGCTGTCTGACTTAGAATAGCTTTGTAATAGATCCCCCTCTGCCGCTTTTTTTTGTGTCTGAGATGGAGTTTTGCTCTTGTTGCCCAGGCTGGAGTGCAATGGCGCGATCTTGGCTCACTGCAACCTCCACCTCCCGGGTTAAAGTGATTTTCCTACTTCAGCCTCCTAAGTAGCTGGGATTACAGCCACATGTCACCACGCTCAACTAATTTTTGTATTTTTAGTAGAAATGGGGTTTCGCTATGTTGGTCAGGCTGCTCTCAAACTCCTGACCTCAGGTGATCTGCCTGCCTTGGCCTCCCAAAGTGCTGGGATTACAGGCATGAGCTACCATACCCAGCCTATTTTTATTTTTTAATTTTTAAAATATGTAACCTTTGATTGATGGATTGATTGGAGATGTAGTTTCACTCTTGTCACCCAGGCTGGAGTCAAACGGAGCAATCTTGGCTCACTGCAACCTCCGCCTCCCAAATTCAAGCAACTCTCCTGCCTCAGCCTCCTAAGTAGCTGGGATTACGTGTATGCGCCACCACGCCCAGCTCATTTTGTATTTTTAGTAGAAATGGGGTGTTGCCATATTGACCAGGCTGGTCTCAAACTCCTGCCCTCAAGTGATCCGCCCACCTTGGCCTCCCGAAGTGCTGGGATTACAGACATGAGCCACCACCCCCAGGCTATGTATTTTTTTACACTGACAGGGTCTCACTAGGTTGGCCAGAGTGGTCTTGAACTCCTGGCCTCCAGCAATCCTCCCACTGTGGCCTCCCAAAGTATTAGGATTATAGGCATGGGCCATGATACCTGGCCTCGCAGCAGATTTTCAAATCAGGTAGTATGATGCCACCAATTTTGTTCTTTTTGCTCAAGATTGCTTTAGCCATTCAGAGCCTTTTGTGATTCTATACAAATTTTAGGATTGTTTTTTCTATTACTGTGAAAAATGTCATTGGAATTTTGATAGATATTGCTCTGAATCTGTAGATCACTTTGGCAAATAATCCAAATTGTTGAATAGCCAAGCTACCTAGACCAAATCAGATAGATTTTTTTTTTTCTTATTTTTGGTTATCCAGAAACCCTCTCTATTTATTCCAAATATTAAAACTTTATCAAAAAAACACACACACAAAGATGACTTACTTTGCCCACATCAAAAGTTAAACGGATTTTGCTGTACATCGTGGTGACTAATTAACAACATATTGTATGCTTCCGAATTGCTGAGAGTAGATTTTAAGTGTTCTCACCACACACACACAAAAAAGGTAAGTATATAAGGTAATGCATACATTAAATAGCTTGATTTAGCCATTCCACTATATACATATAGTGAGATATATACATATATATATAGTGGAATATATATATATATAGTAGGATATATAGTGGAATGGCTAAATACACAAACACACACACACGCACTAATTCCAAGTGTTTGCTCACTGAAGAAAACAGTACTGACGGTACTGTTAAGCTTATAGTTATAGGGGTTAGAATAAGAGACTATATTCTCCTCATACCAGTCTCCACTGTTTAAATTATAATTGAAAAAATGATTTAGAATCAGCTCAACTATAATTGTGCTGTAGCACAGAATATGAGTAAAACGTAAAAAAAAATGTAAATATATATATTTTGGTATATATAGATACACATACATACACACACACACATACCAAAACATCATGTTGTATACCATAAATGTATACAATTTTTACTCGTCAATTAAAACATAAAAAATTATTTTAAAAGTTAAATGGGTTTTATAAATGAACTACTATATTGTGTCTCTTTATTCCATTCACAAGGACTTAAGTCAGACATTTTTTTTGAGACAGAGTCTTGCTCTGTCGCCTAGGCTGGAGTGCAGTGGCAAGATCTTGGCTCACTGTAATCTCCACCTCCCGGGTTCAAACAATTCTCCTGCCTCAGCCTCCTGAGTAGCTAGAACTATAGGCATGTGTCACCACACCCAGCTAATTTTTGTATTAGTGGAGACAGTGTTTCACCACATTGGTCAGGCTGGTCTCAAACTCGTGACCTCGTGATCTACCCTCCTTGGCCTTCAAAAGTGCTGGGATTACAGGTGTAAGCCATTGTACTCGGCCCAGACACTTTCAAAGTGGAGTCTTGACCACTGTATTCCCAACTCCCAAACAGTGCCTACACATAACAGGTGCTAAATATTTGTTAAATTAGTGGCCCCAGAACAGCTCTTTTAACTTGTGTGTGTGGGAAGAAAATGAAAACAGAATTCCAATAAAGTTTAATTTAGAAATTGTGGTTTTAGATCCAAAGGACTTTATCTTATTTTATAGGTGAAAACTTTTTAAAAAAACATTTTGCTCATTTATTCCATGTCACAACACAATCATAGTTCACCTTATTCTAAATCATTTTTCAATTTTTATTTATTTATTTTTTGAGATGGGGTCTTGCTCTGTCACCAAGACATGAGTGCAGTGGCACAATTTCAGCTCACTGCAACATCCGTCTCCTATGTTCAAGCAATTCTCCTGCCTCAGTCTCCCAAGTAGCTGGGATACAGGCGCCTGCCACCATGCCTGGCTAATTTTTGTATTTTTAGTAGAGACAGGGTTTCACCATGTTGGCCAGGCTGGTCTCGAACTCGTGATCTCAGGTGATCCACCCGCCTCAGCCGCCCAAACTCCTAGGATTACAAATGTAAGCCACCATGCTTGGCCCATCTTGGCTCACCACAACCTCCACCTTCCAGGTTCATGCAATTCTCCTGCCTCAGGCTCCTGAGTAGCTGGCACTACAGACATGCACCACCATGCCTGGCTAATTTTTGTTTTTTTTTTTTTTAAGTAGAGACGGGTTTCACTATGTCGGCCAGGATGGTCTCAATCTCTTGACCACCTGATCCGCCCACCTTGGCCTCCCAAAGTGCTAGGATTACAGGCGTGAGCCATCACACCCAGCCTAACTTTTGTTTTAGTAGGGATGGGTTTCACTATGTTGAGCAGGCTGGTTTTGAACTCCTGATCCCAAGTGATCCACCCACCTTGGCCTCCCAAAGTGTTGGGATTACAGGTGTGAGCCACCACGCCTGGACTCATTTTTCAAATATCATTGAAACAATGGAGACAGGTATGAGGAGAATTTATAGTCTCCTAATTGTAATCCCCATAGCTATAGGCTTCAAAGTAGTGTCAAATCTTCAGAGAGCAAACACTTGGAGTTATTATAATGAAACACTATACTGTCAACCAACTGGACATCTGTATCTTTCTCCTGTTTTTTACAAGTGTGTTTTTCCTGGATAGTATAACTATACCCTTGGCATAGTATAACAATAGCTTTTTCTCAATCAGTTTCCATTCAATACGTGCCTTCATTCTTTTATTTCCTTTCGCATAATTCCCAGTAGGAGGGTGTGGGAAATCTATTACATAAAACTGAGTTTTTAATGGAAAACTATTTTTATATGTAAAAAACAGGAAACAGGTTGCAATAATTCAAAACACAAATTCTATCACCTGAACTTGCTTCTTCCAATAAAAGATAACCAATAAATCTACCATTTAAGAAGGAATCCTTTTTATGAAATATAAAAAATTATACAAAAAGGAATATTAGAAGTCCAACAATATTAGATCAGTCTGTAGTAACAATCCTGGAATACGGTATTTTGATTAAGAAATAAAGTTTTTACCTTGCTTGATAGAGGGACTAAATAATGACATAGCATCTTCTTCATGTGATAACACTGTTACACTAGATGTCCCATCTTCTACCTGCAAACAAATACTGCATGTTAGGATGAAATACATAATTTACCAACAATAAAATCTACCAATTATTGAGTGGTTATGTGTCAGGCATCCTGCTAAGTGTTTAACATACATTATCCCCGATTCTTATAGTTAACAAGTAGTATGCTTATCTTTTTTTGTTGTTGTTAAGATGGAATCTTGCTCTGTCACCAGGCTGGAGTGCAGTGGTGCTATCTCAGCTCACTGCGACCTCCGCCTTCCAGGTTCAAACCTGCCTCGGCCTCCCAAGTAGCTGGGACTATAGGCACATGCTACCATGCCCAGCTAATTTTGTATTTTTAGTTGAGACGGGGTTTCGCCATGTTGGCCAGGATGGGCTCGATCTCTAGACCGCATGACCTGCCTGCCTAAGACTCCCAAAGTATTGGGATTACAGGAATGAACCATTGTGCCTATAGTATGTTTATCCTATAGACAAAAAAAGTAGAGACTCTAATGTACCCAGAAAATATGGCTAATAAGTAGTGAGAGTTGAATTTTATCCTAAATCTGTCAAGCTCCAAACTCCATGTTCTTCTTTTCTTTTTTTTTTGAGACAGATTCTCACTCTGTCGCCCAGGCTGGAGTGCAGTGGTGCAATCTTGGCACCATAACCACTGCCTCTCAGGTTCAAGATTCTCCTGCCTCATTCTCTGGAGTAGCTGGAATCACAGGCATGCACCACTACACCTGGCTAATTTTTGTATTTTTAGTAGAGATGGGGTTTTACCATGTTAGCAGGCTGATCTCAAACTCCTGACCTCAGGTAATCCACCCGCCTCAGCCTCCCAAGGTGCTGGGATTATAAGCATGAACCACTGCTCTGGGCCAATTCATGTTCTATTATACTTGCAGCTTTCTCAGCTACCACTACTCTCACACTTCCAAAAAGACAAAATTTCAAGTACCTGGCATATAGTAGGGCTAAGTAAAACTTTGTGAAATTAATTCTTTGTATTAAACATATTATTGAGGGCCAGTCGTGGTGGTTCACACCTGTAATCCCAGAACTTTGGGAGGCTGAGGTGGGCAGATCACGTGAGGTCGGGAATTCAAGACCAGCCTGACCAACACAGAAAAACCCCATCTCTATTAAAAATACAAAATTAGCCAAGCATGGTGGCACATGCCTTTAATCCTAGCTACCTGGAAGGCTGAGGTGGGAGAATCACTTGAACCAGGAAGGTGGAGTTTGCAGTGAGCCAAGATTGCGCCATTGCACTGCAGCCTGTGCAACAAGCGCGAGACTCCATCGCAGGAAAAAAAAAAAAACAAAAAACCCCCAAAAAAACAAAAAACATATTTTTGCATCTTTTTCATAACTCTACAGATTTCAATTTTCTTTTTCTTTTTAGATAGAGTCTTGCTCTGTCACCAGGCTGGAGTGCAGTGGCACAATTTTGGCTCAATCCAACCCCTGCCTCCGTAGTTCAAGCTATTCTCCTCCTTCAGCCTTCCAAGTAGCTGGGATTACAGGTGTCCGCCACAGCACCCAGTTAATTTTTGTAGTTTTTGTAGTGGGGACAGGGTTTCACCATCTTGGCCAGGCTGGTCTCGAACTCCTGACCTTGTGATCCACCCGCCTTGGTCTCCCAAAGTGCTGGGATTACAGGTGTGAGCCACTATGCCTGGCCAATTTTCATATTTTGTATTTAAGAAAAATTCTTGTGTAGCAGAGTTATTCTCATATATTGGATTTTTAAATTTTTAATCTAGTAACTATTATCTTGCACTTCATTTTTACTTTTAGGTGCACTATAAGTTCCTAAATCACATATTCAGAAATATTAGTCTTTAAACTCAGTGATGTATAATTGTATTTGTAAAGAACAAAATCTTTTCATTATCACAGACCAGGTATAACTGGTACCATGTGCTTGATTTACTCATTTAAAAAAACTGTGTTTTTGTCTGTGGCCATACCACCCTGAACACACCCGATCTCGTCTGATCTCGGTCAGGCCTGGTTAGTACTTGGATAGGAGACCACCTGGGAATACCGGGTGCTGTAGGCTTTTAAAAAAAATAAAATTAAAAAATAAATAAAAATAAAATAAAAAATAAAAAAAGTGTGTTTTTCTTTTTTTCTTTTGAAGAAGTGGCCTGATCTTGGCTCACTGCATCTTCAGCCTCCTGGGTTCAAGCAATTCTCCTGCCTCAGCCTCCTGAATAACTGGGATTATAGGTGAATGCCACCATACCCGGCTAAGTTTTGTATTTTTGTTAGAGACGGGTTCACTATGCTGGCCAGGCTGCTCTCAAAATCCTGACCTCAGGTGATCTGCCTTCCTCGATCTCCCAAAGTGCTAGGATTACAGGCATAAGCCACTGCACCTAGCCAAAAATACACTTTTTAAAATAAATGATTACTCTTTCTATTCTAAGACAAAATAAGTGAGATAAGTGTGGTACTAAGTGTGTTACTACTATATTCAGAGCTACAAAATCAACAGTGACCCTTTGGTGTACTGTGATTTCTCTTACCTTGTGTTTTTTTCCAGCTTCTCTCTCACTATTTTGTCTATCTTTTTTATCAGGAAAAAGGAATTCCTCATCTCCTTCAACAAATGCATATGGATCAATTTTAGGTTCTTGTTCTGCATCAGATGCTATTGCTGAAAGATACTGATTTTTAATTTGATATTGCTGCACTAATTCATCAGAAACTTTTAAAGGTTTCTTACATTGCACCATTAACCTGCACAAAAAAAATTAAAAAAAAAATTATCCACATAAGTATTAAAAATTTCCAAAACAACATAAGTATCATAAGGTTTTTATATTTACTTAAAGATTATCTAACCTGCAATCCCTTATTTCACAAATGAAGAGGCATGAAAATATTAAATAATTTATTGAAGTCTCAAATTTAGCCACAGAGAAATGAGGCTAAAATCCAAGTTTCCTAACTACGTGATCTATCAAAATATGTTGTCTTTAGGTAATTCATTTTTTTCAAGTTCTTAAGCATACTATATTGTCCAAATCCATTCCCTGAAAGGGGTTCTTAAATCTAAACTGCTCCAGTATAGTGACTCAAAGTGGGGGCTTTATAGTGAGGTAAAATACTTTTAAAACAATTTATACAATGAAAATGATTATGCATTGTTTTATTGCCATGAATAGATATACTTTTAAGTTTCAAATTTTTGAAGGCCTGATATGTGGTTCATGAAAATAACATTATTACTATTAATAGTGGCAAGATGTTTCACAAGGGAAGGTGAAGTTTCAGTGCAAGTATCTCAGAGTTCTTTTCTAATCACATTGGCACATCAGTTTTTAAGTTTAATTAGTCTTCTGGTTCAACACAGTGACTAAAAAATCCTTCTCTTTACTCTTCTAAAATAACCAATAAAATGACAAGAGATGACAGAACAAGACAGAAGACAATATGAAGTTAGAAAGATGAACTAAGTGGAAACTGACAGACTACAGAAGGCTGAAATCTAAGGACAAAAGAGGGAAGCCACAAGAAGTAAGCTGATCTGTACCAGAGAACCCTGGAAAGCATCAGGACTTTTCTCTCTCTGAAGACCCGACTGCTTGGTGGGCATGAACACAGAATCACTAGCTTCTTGTTTGTGTAAGACACGTTTAGACTCTTAAAGTTCTGTTCTCTCAGGTTTACAAAGCTAATGTTCTCAAGCTGTCAGTAGCTAGCAGCCAAGCTTCTAGTCAGATCATGTTCAGAATCTTGCAATGACTATTTCACTCCGAGAAAAAACAAAGTCCTTATACCATCCTATGAAAACCTTCCATCATCTTGTTCTCCTCTCCAAATGCATCTTCTACGATTCTGGTCCTCTCTTATACTGCTTCCAAGGGCTTCCTTTAGGTTCCTCAATGGGTTCCAGACCCATTCCTGGCTATTTCTTTTATTGGGAATATTATTCCAAATAACTGCACGGCCAGCTCACTTCCTTAAAGTCTTTGCTTAAATGTCACCTCTCTATGAGACCATAACTACCTTATTTAAAATAGCAATATGCCCAATTGCCTCAATAATAATACCCCTTACCCTGCTCTATTTTCCTCCATAGCACTTATCTTTTAACACATTACATAATTTATTATGTTCATAGTTGACTGTCACTCACACTAGAAGGACAGGGATCTTATCTTTGTTCACTGATTTAGCACAGGTGCCTAGAGTGCCTGGTACATAATATTATGGTATGGAACAAACCATAATACTTGGTAATAAATAAATGAAATCTAAAAGTCATAGACTGAGATGTTTGTGCATTAGTACTACTAAAATACAGTATCTTATACTTTGAAATGAACAATTTTTACATACTAGAAAGTACCAATGCCAGTGCTTATCTATACTGAGTACCGAGACAAAAATTATAAGATATGTAAGGTCTGGGAGCAGTGAAGGTATTTGCAGATTGTAAATTCTTTGACTGACAGGGAAATCATATCTCATTAACCTATTCACTAATGCCTAGCACTAGCAGCACTTGATCTCTTACAAACTGAGGGCAAAACAAGCCATCAAAACAAAAACTAATTTTTAAACAGGCTATAAAATTTCAAATACATACCATTATTATTCCAAATATGCCCTAGATTTATTCAAAAAACTAAAATCCCAATCATACAAAAATTTTCTTCTGTGGGAACATAATGTTAACATACTGTCATTGGGGATATGTTTTATAATTAATCACTAGAATAGTTCTATTCTATAAACAGATGATTTTCAAGTGTAGTTTTTTTACCTCACCACATTAGACTCTTTAAGTAAACGGTGGCTGAATTGTCTACAAAATATTCACTAATGCAAATCTTTTCAAAATAGTAAATCTAGGTACTTTGATATGTACTTTTCTTATTTAATACTTAAAATAATCTTTTATGATAGGAAATGAAGGGTATTATCCCTGACTTTGATGCAGAAATTATGTAAAATCAACGGCTTTGCTAAGGTCACATAGTGGCAAAGTTAGAGCTGAAAAGATTTTAAGTATTCATATTCAAATAACTATTCTCAGGGAAGAAAGTATAAGAAATCTTCCTTCCCCCAGTCTGAAAGACACTACTACTCTCTGTAGAGATAAATAAAACAACTCTGTGCTGCATATTGTTGTCCTACTGCAGAAGTGTAAAAACCTTCACAATGTTTACATAAGTAGTTGCTAGACTACTGTGCAGTAACATTATTAAAAGGGCCAATTCTACTGCACAGGGCTCTATTAAAACAAAAATTAGTAAACCAAATGCATTACCTAAATATGACTTTTTGTTATTTTATTGAATCATTCTCACAGACATTATGTGCAAATAATTTAAATGTAGTCAATTTCAAGAGTATCAAGGCACAATAAATTTAAAAATATAAATCATTTACATTATACATTCTTCTATATTCAAAGCTGATAAAAAATTAAAAATTATTACTTTTAAGAGATGCCAGATAAAAAACTCCAATTATCATACACTTTTATGAATGCAAATAACTTATCCTTTCCTCAAATGAACTTTCACATTCAGCCAAATAATTAACTACACAGACAGTTTCAATTAGACATAAAGCTACATACAGACAAACTGTGAAAGGATCAGGTACAGTCATGAATAGGAAGTATTACAAGGCCCAAAGCAAATTTAAATTATTCATTAATTGCATCTCCTTCCTTTTACTGTGACAACAACGTATTATCCTGAAACATACTCATATAGAATTTAACATGGCTCATGGCATGGTAACATATGCTGTTATGCCTTTATTCAATAAAAATTCTTCCAGATGAGGTATGACAGTATTTAAGGATCAACAATTATAGAAGGAGATAAGCTATAGAAGGAAAGTTAAGGAACAAATGAAGGCAATAATGTCAAAATCTCCCCACTACTTTTTTTTCTTTTGAGACAAGGTCTTGCTCTGTCACCCAAGCTGGAGTGCAGTGGCACGGTCTCAGCCCCCTGTAACCTTCACCTCCAGAGCTCAAAGTATCCTCCCTCTTCAGTTTCCTGAGTAGCTGGGACTACAGGCATGTACCAACACACTTGGCTAGTTTTTAATTTTTTGTAGAGATAGGGTCTCCCTACATTGCCCAGGCTGGTCTTGAACTTCTGGGCTCAACTGATCCTCCTGTGTTTGCCTCCCAAAGTGCTGGGATTACAGGTGTGAGTCACTGCGACCAGCCTAAAATCTACCACTTTTTTTTTTTTTTGAGACGGAGTTTCACTCTTGTTACCCAGGCTGGAGTGCAATGGCGCGATCTCGGCTCACCGCAACCTCCACCTCCTGGGTTCAGGCAATTCTCCTGCCTCAGCCTCCTGAGTAGCTGGGATTACAGGCACGCGCCACCATGCCCAGTTAATTTTTTGTAGTTTTAGTAGAGACGGGGTTTCACCATGTTGACCAGGATGGTCTCGATCTCTTGACCTCGTGATCCACCCACCTCGGCCTCCCAAAGTGCTGGGATTACAGGTGTGAGCCACCGCACCCGGCCAATCTACCACTTTTTAAAGGGTATTTTTTCTATTACGATCTCCCACATTCAGAATCAATCCTTAAACTGAGTCAAGGTCACTGTCAAAAGGAAAGCTTTATTGTATTAAAATAAAACAGCAAATAAGACTTAAAAGATTTAGAGTACAGTAAAAACAAAACAAGTTTATTTCATCACAGACTTTCTGTGAAACAAAGGCATTCAGAACTACCTTTCAGAGATCTAATAATGCATTCTGTAACTATACATACACATCTGGTACATTACTAATTACAACATAGGAGTTAGTTCTATTGATGAACATCATAGTTAAGATATCCTGATATACTTTGGCTAGAGAATAAAACATGTAAAGAACTATGCTCAAATATAGTTCTTTCTTTGCTCAGGGTTTAGAAAGGTTTCCCTCTGAATCAGAATAGCAGATTAAACAATGATAAATTGTTCTAAAACTGACTGCTAAACCCTTGAAAAAAGATATGTTTCTTGCCAGAAATTTCCCTATCTTTAAAATTTATACAATTCTTAGCCTCCATCCTGAAATACATGCTATCATTAACTAACAGAAACTAAAAAGAATCAGAAACCAAAGAAGGATAGATATTTGAAACAAATGTCTTACATATAGATTATGCTATGTTCCACTCCAACCTCTCCTTCCCTGCAAGTAAATTCTAACAAATTAGAAAAGGAATTTTACTTTTTAAAAAGTCTTTTGAAAGTTAAACATAAAACTGCTGCACATCAAAGTCTAAGAATAAAAAAGTACTTTGAAATGATAAATTCTGTTACTCTATACTGGTTAAGTAGCTGTTACCACCTAAAACTGCTGATTAGAAAAATCAAGAGGGCCTGGTGCAGTGGCTCACACCTGTAATCCCAGTGCTTTGAGAGGCTGAAGTAGTAGCACCACTGAAGACCAGGAGTTCAAGACCAGCCTGAACAACATAGCGAGATCCTGTCTCTATAAAAAAAAAAAATGTTTTCAATTAGCCGAGCAGTGTTGTTGCATGCCTGTAGTCTTGGCTTCTTGGGAGGCTAAGGAGGATGGATCGCTTGAGCCCAGGAGTTCAAGGCTACAGTGAGCCATGATCATGCCACTGCACCATAGCCTGGGTAACAGAGCAAGATCCTCTCTCTTAAAAAAAGAAAAAATAAAAATCAAGAGTATTGCTCTCTTTCACTAACCCACTATTATGGACAGTGCCACCTTTCAACAGCAATTAATGGA